TAAAATATCTGTTTCCAAAGTTATTTAAGGGAATTGATTGTTCATCTTTTAATTGTGAAAGTTGTTTTTTAGCAAAAAATCATCGCTCCACATATTTTCCAAAACCTTATAAAGCTTCCAAACCATTTTACTCAATTCACAGTGATGTTTGGGGTCCTTCTAAAATCAGTACTCTTAGTGGAAGAAGATGGTTTATTACTTTCATTGACGATCATACTCGCCTGTCGCGTTTATTTAATGTCAAAAAAATCTGAGGTGAAAGACATTTTCAAAAACTTTTATGAGATGATTGAAACTCAATATCAAACAAAAATTTGTATTTTACATTCTGATAATGGAACTGAGTATTTTAATGAGTTTTTGGGAAATTTTTTGAAAGAAAAAGGTATGGTTCATCAGTCTACTTGTCGGGATACTCCTCAACAAAATGGGATTGCTGAAAGAAAAAATAGGCATTTACTTGAAGTAGCACGTGCTATAACGTTTTCTATGCATGTTCCAAAATATTTATGGGGGGAAGCGATTCTCACAACAACCTACCTAATAAATAGGATGCCTACTAAAGTTTTAAATTTCAAAACTCCCATTGAGTCATTTAAAAATATTTTTCCAACATCCCAATATTCTGACCTACCTCTCAAAGTTTTTGGGTGTACTATTTATGTTCACACACCTAGTCATTTCAGGTCGAAACTTGACCCTTGCGCTATTAAATGTGTTTTCTTAGGCTATGCTTCAGGTCAAAAAGGTTACAAATGTTTTGATCCTCAGACAAAAAAAAATTTTGTGAGTATGGACGTGTCTTTCTTAGAAAATCAACCATATTTTACCCAAAATTCTCTTCCGGGGGAGAAAATGAATTTGGAAGATAATTTTTGGGATATTTCTGTTCCCCTTCCTAGTCCTACCTGTTTGGATTTTACTAGTCCTTCGATGCCAACCATAGAAACTGTCCAATCAGGGGGAGAAATACTACAAAACGATTTTGTGAATCCTAGTTCTGAGTTAAAGTTTTATACTAGAAGGAAATTCAATC